AAGGGCTGTACTCTACATTTTAATTACAAATTTAACGTTAACGTTAGACTTAACTTAAACTGTTGTTTCTCTGTGATACAAGTGGGATGGGAACACTTTTTTTTCAACAGCAAAAAAAAAATCTTTCCCCCTTTTTTTTTCCTTCTTTTTTTCCCTTCTTCCCCCCCCCCCTGGATCCGCCACTGATCACGGGGGAAAAAAGTATACAGCTATGTAACAAGTAAATTCCTAAGAGGGAAAATGCCGACTTAAATAAATGATAATGATAAAATACCAAGGAATTTAGGAGTTTCATGGGTACCAATTCAATGGAAATTTGTATTAAAATAAGAGCCCCCGTCAGCACTAAAAGAGCCCCCGTGAGAAGGCTCACGGGTCTCTTTTTTTTGGGGGGGGGGGGAAGAGCCCCCGTGGACAAAAAATTAATTTGAGTCCTGCGTCTTAGGGCCCTTGATGTGGTCCAGGGGGCAGAGCCCCCGGAAGCTCAGGGGTTTTAAGCATTTAATTTTTAAGCATTTTAAGCATTTAATTACGGTTAAATGAGCATTTTTTTATACCTTATTTTTGACATTAGCAGGTCACTTATTTTTTTCTCCGTCTTTCTTTTATTTCTTCTCTTTAACATACTTTTTCAAAAAGGAGGGGGGGGGGGGCTCGAGCCCAGGCACTTTGCAGAGAATGACACAAAGGTTTCTATAAATTAGCGTATTTCGCCTGACTGTAATTTCGGAATTTCTTATTTTCCAACAAACGCATAAAAGGTAAGACTTACAAAAAAAATGGAAAAAAAATGCCGGAAAATTATGTCACAACGTCAAAATTTGTAAATCACTTGTTTCGACTAAGAAATACATAACCCCCCCCCCCCCTTCCCTCCACCAGTACGCCCGCGTTCAGAGGCTCATGTCTACTCACCCCTATAACAAAAAACTTTCCCATTCTCGCACAATATGTCCACGATATGCGTGTATTGCTATTATATTATAGAGACCTCCATTGATAAATACCGTATAGGTGACATGCGCAATGTTTATGAAATCTAATTCCTGTGAACTTTCCTTTTCTTTGAATGGAATTGTATGATTGATTTAATTCAGGTTTTTATTATTGTTACGTTCTTTTGGATTAAAAATACAAACCATGTGTACTCCATTACTGTTTTTTTTTTGTGGAGGGGGGGGGGCGTTTTTTTTTTTTGGGGGGGGGGGGGAAATGCGTTCCCCCCCCCCCCCCCAACTTCCGGCGCCTATGCAGTAGACCACTCAATTCTTTTAAATAAGCTTAGGCTTATTGGCTTGAATGTAATGTCATTACAGAGGTTTAGTAGCTACTTAGCCAATCGCATGCAATACATTTGTGTAAATGGGGTTCATTCCAATTCACAAAAGATGCAATGTGGAATACCGCAGAGGTCAAATATTGGCCCATTGTTATTTATCCTGTTTATTAATGATATGCCTTTATGTCTGAAAACATGTAAAATATCTTCATATGCTGATGATATGTGTCTATATTACGCTAGTGCAAATCATCAAACTCTTACCGAATCATTAAATGCAGACTTATTACTTATTGATATTTGGTTAAAAAGGAACATACTTGCTTTAAATGTGCCAAAATGTGAATTACTTTTTATTGAAACGAAGAAACGGTTAAAAAATATTGTAGTACCAGATGTTTACATACAAAATGTTCCTCTCAAACGTGTAACCCACCGTAAGTATCTTGGAATAGTTATTGATGAACATTTGGATTGGGGTAAACATATTTAATATTTAAGAAAGAAGGTATTAACAGATATAAATTTGTTGAAAAGACTTAGACCATATGTTACACAGCAAACTGCACTTATATTTTATAAATCAGTAATTCAATGTATATAAGTTTGATTACTGTTATGCAATTTGGGGGAATGCCGGAAAAGGACGTTTAGACAGTTTGCAAAAGCTACAGAATAGGACACTCCGGGTGGTACTTCAAGTTGAATGGAGGTTCCCAAGCCGAGATTTATTTCTTTGTCTGAAAACAGAAAATCTATTAAAACGGAGAGATGAACATGTTCTATGTATTTTGTATACAATAGTGCATGAAATGATATATGGTGGGTTTAGAAAGTACTTTATTATTAAAGAATATCATTATGGCTTGAGAAATGCTTATAAAACCTTAGAACTGCCAAAACCCCATATGAATTTAAAAAAGGAGTTTATGTTATAGAGGCATTACATCTTCGAATCAGCTACCTATGAACGTACAAAATATGTCTTTCTCTGTATTTAAATCAAGGGTAATATGAATATTAATTTTATATTTTGTTCGCTTAAATATCTATTTATATAACTATAACATCTAAAATAAACGCTGTCTGGAAAGAATAACAGCCGACGGGGGGGGGGGGCTTGGTAGTAGTATCTTGGTTTGTAAATTTTCATTTTTCTTTGTATACTTATGTTTTTTGCTTTTGTTTTTGTTTTTTTTAATATTCCATATGCTATGATATGTGTTATCTTATAATTGTACATGTAATTTTTATATTGCGCACGGACCAACAGAAGAACAGCCCTTGGCTGAAGTTGGTGCCGTGCAAAAATAAAATAAACTGAACTGAAACTGAACTGAGTGAGAGAGAGAAGGGGTAGGAAAAGAGGGGAGAGAGGGGAAGGACAGAGACTTGCCGTAACCATGAAACGATCATAATCACAAACCCTGCAATTAGTGTAGAATCAAATGTGTGACGTTACTTGGGCCCCCTTCCACCCCCTATATTTTCCTTTATAAGTTATATAATTATTGCAAATATGTTTTTATACAACTCCTCACTCCTGTATGTAATATATATTCCGTCATAATTGACTAGTTTCAAGTTTATGAAATGTGTTGTACAGAACAAATTGAAGAGGAGCTCTTATGATAAGTCACAGTGTTGCCAATTTGTCTTTAACTAATGACAACTTCAAATCTTCATGACCTTCCTATTTCTAATCGGATTTTGCTCGAACTTTCACTAATATGTTTCATTCATTTTTATGGAACTTAACAAAAGGGTGGACTTCCCTTTTAAAAGGTGGAGTTTTATCACAGAGTGAAGGTAAACTCTAAAAACAATTGAATAAACAGCAGGTGCTGTGGTCTAGTGGTACATTAACTCGCACCCATAGGCGCCGGAAGAAGGGGGAAGGGAAGGCGCCCCCCCCCCCCCAACCAACAAAATGAGAGGGAAACGCATTCTCCCCCCCCCCCCCTCCACAAAAAAAGCAGTAAAAGAGTACAGATTGTTTGTGTTTTTTAACCAAAAAAGAACATAACAAATAATAAAAACTGAATTGAACCACATATCAATTGATTGACTTCAGAAAAAGGAAAGTTAACAGGAATTAAATTTCCTATATATTCTGCATGCCCCTAAATTTATCAATGGAGGTTTTTATAATAGCGATACGCGTATATCGTGGAAATATTGTGAGAGGATGGGAAAGCGTGTTTGTTTTTATTATAGGGGTGAGAAGAAATTAGCCCCTGAACACTGGCGTACTAATAGGGGGTTCTAATTCGATACCAGTGATTTACAAATGTTCCTGAAATGACATGATTTTCCGGTATTTTTTTCATTTTTTTGGGGTAAATCATACCTTTTCACCCATCGAGGGCCCTAAGGCGGGCCCCTCGATGCTCATCTGACTGTAACTACATACCTAAAACCCCTGAGCTTCCGGGGGCTCTTCCCCCTGGATCCAACCAAGTGCCCTTAGGCGGGCCCCTGGATGCTCATCAGACCGTAATTAAATAAATAAAACCTCTGAGGTTTCGGGGGCAAAGCCCTTGGACATCACGCCAATTTACGCTCCACTCGCTTCGCTCGCTACGCTCTACCTGTTCGTTACTACTCCACTTTTAAAAATGTCCCGTGGGGCCTGCATGTAAGAGTTGTGGTGATGCAGATTTTTCTTCTGCCCCCCCCCCCCAAAAAAAAAGGAAGGTGAGCCAGCGTGGCCGGTGAAAAAAAAAAATATGTTAGGGTAGCAGCGAAAATTATGCTTAATCGCTAAATTTTATGCCCAACCCCCAGACATCGAATTTGTAAGGAAATATTTGGCGCCGACTCAGCAAGCCGCTGAATAAGCGGGAGTGGGGGGTAGTAAGAAGCAATTTTTTAGGAAATATTTCGCGCCGACTGCGCCAGCCGCTGAATAAACGAGGGGGGGGGGGTAGTAAGAAGCATTTAAGGGAGAAATATGTTGGAAAATGTATGCCAATTGTGCTAAAAATGCTCAAATTATGCCAGAATTTTGCTAAAAACCGCCAAATTATGCCAGGCATAATGCCAGATACTAAAAGGGACAAAATTATGCCTGAAAGCATAATTATGCCAGGTCTGGCAACTTGAGGTGAGCCCCCTGGAATGTTCCCCCCCCCCCTAATCCGAAACTGCTTCCGGCGCGCCTGCTCGCACCTCATTCCTAGGATGAAGGGTTGACATCCCAGCCCGGCATTTGACAAGACATTAATCCGCATTTGCAACTCTCCACCAAGATGTAAATGGGAACCTAGCATTCGCTGGAGTAATAATTGCTGGGCCCTCAGAAAGACCAGTATTGATGCTGATGAAGCTTCCTTTGGTTAAAATTGAATATTATGCTCCTTCTTCTTCTTTTTCTCCTTCTTCGTTTTATTCATCTTCTTCTACTTCTCACCATCATCATCATTATCATCACCACCATCATCATCATCATCATAATCACCATCATCATCATCACCATTTTCACCATCATCATCATCACCATCATCATCATCATCATCATCATTTTCATCTTCAACAGTGGTGGTGGTGGAAGTAGTAGTAGTAGTAGTAGTAGTAGTAGGAGTAGTAGGAGTAGTATTAGTAGTATTATTATTAGTAGTGGTGGTGCTGGTAGTAGTAGTAGTAGTAGTAGTAGTAATAGTAGTAGTAGTAGAAATACATTTAGTACAAACAAAAGAAGGGTAAATTATTTCCTACTTACATTGGGTTCGGGAGTAATTATGTTGCACACGGTGTCTTCTACAACAGATTTATTTCCAATCGTCCCGGTGAATCGTCCATTGTAGCCATATCTCGTTGGGCAAGTATCCCGTGCTCGTCTCAATACATTCACGGCCTCGGCTGGATGGACGAGAATTGCACGAACAAAGGTTTTCCCGACCCATCGTAATGTGAACGATGCCTAAATGTGGTGTCAGATGAGAGATATAAGATGGCATATATCGCAATACATTTGTACAGAATAAATACGATCGCATAAACTTTCGAAAAATTATTCCAAGGCAATTCCAATGACCTTACACGTCATCAATTAAAATGTGCTAATGTTAGTCCCTATTGGCGCTGAACATAATCTGTTCTTGATTTGTCTCGGATATAGACTAATTGAAAGTGATTTGATTTCGATATGAGGAGATAGCGCGACAAGATTATTATAAGAAGAAGGGGGGGGAGCCATCATTTTTTTTTACGAACCTTGTACTTGCCATCTCCAAGATAAGCAACTTCTCCATCGGCAGATGCACCGGCTTTAAGGTCATTATTGTAGATCCTGACCCGGATATAATCTCCTCCGTTTACTTTTAATTGATTCTTACTGTCTCTGGCCTCGATGATGACATCCAGACGATCACATATTTGGTATTTCCTTGAGGCATCGATGATGTAAAACGTAGAACTCTTATCGCTCGTAACACCAGCGGTTTCCTTAAAGAAATAAATGAAAATAAAAGCATTTATTATGATAAACAATAATTGTAATATCAATAATGATAATGATAAGAATAATAATGATAATAACTATATCAAAAAATGATAATAATCATTATTACCTAGGGTTGGTCAATTCTGCTGGCCCTGCAATCATCATTACCCTAGCAATCGCCAGGTAGCTATTCAAACCTGAGTGCTATTTTTGGAAACGATCAAACAATTTTCCTAAAGAGTACTGCGTATAATGTTTTTGCAATTCAAATTAAATAATGACAGGGCCCATTTACAACACATTTGATGCATGAGACGGATAAAGGCGTAATCTTTAAATTTTGTCCATTTTGGGCCACTTTTCGAAGCCTTTCTTTCGCCCTTAGGGCTACCTATTTCCTATTTCCACTATCACAGAAGCTACAGACTTCTTACAAATTGCTCTGGATAGTCCGAGAGAAGCTCTTTCGTTTGACACGTAGTAACATGGGCGTCATTGCACGCAAAACGCTTTGACACGATTGCATTTCTGGTTCTTAGAATTATTATTACTATTCTTCAATCTTATCCTTATTTTTATAGTTATCTTTTGTAATACGTCATATGCCCAGGTTTTACTACTTTACTTCATCAAAGATGTCTACCCAAAACTCTTAATTCGCTGCTAAAATATTATCAAGAGAAAAAAGGAAACATTAGAATAAATATTTGTTAAATAAAGTAATATCTAAAGAAGATCAAAATAAAGAAAAAGGCGGAATATGAAATAGAAAAAAAAAACATAAAGTAGAATATAGAACATATTAAAGATAAAGTTGAGTTCTGGTCATGCGATTGCATTGTGAAAGAAACGGTTGGGAATCGATCAGAAAAAGTTGATCATGTAGCATAAGTATTGGTGTGCACTGCAAGGTTTTGGAATAATCAAAATGAGGAGACATTGTCAATACATGTGTTTATCAAAATGACATGAAAACATTGGTTTACTCACGGGTCTCGAAATATTGAGGTGTGGAGTTGTTTGTTGGACGGTAGAAGCGTAATGTCCTCTAGTACTAGTAGATCCAAAGACCTGTTGGAATATGATAACAGATATTAATTCTAACATTGAGACCTGGTCAAGCTTTATAAATGTGTCTCATTTATTAATTATAATTGTGATTAAGTTATGATAAAATATCAATAATTATTGGTTTCGTTTTTTCTAGGACGCACTGTTTATAATATATAGTTCGCTGATAACACCTACTTCGGCGGCTTGAATCAATAAGCCAGTTCGTAATTGCATAGTGCGCATGTGCCAAAATCTGGAACGAACTTTTCCAAATGTCACATGAACATATTAAGAGAGTTGAGAGAGCAAGCGCGTAACCAGGTGGGGGTTCTTGGGGTGTGCTATGTTAATAATTATTATTATAACTATTATTATTGTTGGTGGTTTTTGTGTTCTTGTAATTATCAAGATTATTATCGTTAATATTATTATTATAGTCATTATTATTTGTATTGTTTTCATTATGATGAAAATGAACGTGATGATTACGGTAATGATTAAAATTAGTAGTATTATTATAATTATTACTATATCATTAGTATCATCAGTATCATCAGCATAATCATCAATGACGGTAGTGTGGTATAGTACATGTGAAAGTAGGCCTAGTAGTAGTGGTATCATTCTGATCCGTATTATCCTGATTATCTCTTGCAATACGTCTAGAGAATATAATCATGACGATTGACAATTTGTCATGAATCATTGTCCTGAAGCTTACCATTATATGCATCTGGCTCGAATTTTGCTTGGGTATTTGGTACTGGATGATTAACATGGTAAAACGAACTTGTGTCTTATTCATTCTAGTCTTATTTATTTGCATTATGTTTTAGTCATTCTACAGAGTGAGTCCGAAAAAATGTCTCACTTTTTAAAATTTGTATTGTTTGAAGTATGAATAATGGTTTCATGATATGTCTTGAGTATTCCTCCCAGTACATTTAGGTACCATTTTCATTTGAATCTCTGCATGCATGATTGAACATCACATAATATTTATACAAGAGTGTCAGATCTCTTTTGCGCCAAGTTGCTGGGTGAGGAATAAAATATTGTTTTGAACAAAGACAGCCAGACAGACAAAAACAAACACACAGACGTGTGCGTGCGTGCGTGTATGTGTGTATGTGGCTGGCTTTGTTCAATCCACTGTTTTATTCCTCAGTATCTTGGCGCAAGTGAGATCTGGCAGTCTTGTATGATTGTCTGATGTTCAGTCATGCATGCAGAGATTCAAATGAGAATATACTGGGATGATAGCTCTATCAAGACATATCATGAAACACATGATTAAATATTCATACTTCAAACAATACAACTTTTAAAAAGTGGGACATTTTTTCTGACTCACTCTGTAGTTCAAATGTTTTCTGACTGTTTTCAAGACAATATCTTTTTTGTCGATCATCGTTGTATGTAGCTTGGTATATCATGGTAATTTGGAGGGAAAGGCAATCCAATCAACGATTTCTGAATTGTTGCGACAATCGTTCGCCTTTGCTGCGCTCTAATACTGCTATGTCTATGCAAACATGCAGTATCACTTTTCCAGGACTCATGATAAATTCGTGTAACAGTTGATTTCTCGTTGGTTGATTCTTTTGTTTGGATTATTTGGCGGGGAGAGAATGAGGTGAACGGTTTCACGCTTAAAGATAAAGACCAGTTCTGGTCATGCGATTGCATTGTGAAAGAAACGTTGTGGAATCGATCAGAAAAGGTTGATCATCTAGCATATAAGTATTGGTGTGTACTGCAAGGCTGGAATCATCAAAATGATAAGAAATTTGGCCCAGTATTGGTAAAGTTACAAGCACGAGGCCGCCATCCATCTCCAGCCTAACCGCTCACGATGGTGGTCTCCTGCGTTCCAAATTACCTCTCTAATTTATTGAAAATATTTCATATATTTCTTATGTTATTGTATGCTTCGTACATGTTTATCGAATGATATAATTGTACATGATTTTTCATTTAATTACTTTTGTAAACATTGTATTCATTGTATTTGTTATTGTTCGAAATTTTGTACTTTGACTTTGAATTTGTATATTTTTGAACGCAGAAATAAAATCAATCAAACAAACAAACAAACTGTACACAGAAAGATGTATATGGGACTACGCACAGGTGCGCGACACTTACGTTTTATCTATCACATCCCAATAGATAAACTAATTTACCAAATATATCAATTAGTAGGCGGTTTCCAGGCAAAAATGTTATCATCATGTATTAGTCAAAACATATTCTTTCACATGATTGGTAATAAGAGCTTTCATTTCATTTTTTTTTAAATTGGGGCGTTTCCAATGCTGGTCTTTACCTTTAACGACGTTCATATATTTTTATTCTTATTTGTTCATCGTCTCTACAAAGCTCTTTTAATAAAATAATTAAAACAGCTTTTAGTGTTAGGCTTCTGAAAAAGTTTCAATTGTTGAGATTTTTGGTTGCAACCTGTAAATTATGATGATGTGTTTGATCACGTTTTCAATTACAAAATCAAAACATGGTAATAGACAGACGCGGATCCAGGGGGGCCGAGCGGTTCTTGCCCCCCCCCCCCCCCCCCGCAAAAAAAAAGGAGAGAGAGAGAGAAGGAAAGAAGGGAAAGGGAAAGAGGAGAGAAAGGGAAAAAAGAAGAGGAATTTTCTGAGGGGGATCGTCCCCCATGGATAATTTGAAAAAGTGCACACCAACAAAATGTATAGCAAATACTGACTAAAGACTGCAACACGCTTTAAGGCTCTGGTGGGCCCAAGAGTACAGCGTTTAGACTAATAGAAATGCTAAAAATCTTCTCGCTCGGTCGCTACGCTCCTTCGCATAATATCCTAAAAATATACAAGTAAATATTGAAGAAAATATGTATTCTGATGGTATCACGTATGTACAAATTACACTGTATGTTAACAAGATTAAAAGTTATAGAAATAGATCAGTGTTCAAAAAATGAATATTCAGCTTGCTCTTTTAAGAAGTACCTTCCTGCTCAGTCAAAGTACAATTTACCTAGTAAATCTTTACAACCCTTCGGACTGCACACTAGATATCGGCAAAGTAAAAGTAAAGCGTGAAAAAGTATATTGCTTGTTTTTATGCTGTAGTTTTGCTAAAGAATGTAATTTTTAACACAACAAAACTTCAAAAACCTGTGAGGGGTTTACATATAAGACTTATCATACAGCTTTATGGGGGTAGTCCCTTCCGTCACCTCCGCCTCTTTCACTGGCGTACTGATGGGGGGGGGGCAGTAACCCCCCCCCCCCCCCAATACAATTCAAACATGGGTTATTTTTAATTTGATACCAGTGATTTACAAGTATTGCTAAAATGGCAGTATTTTTCCATGAACTCCCGGAGGCTCTACCCCCTGGAACCCACCAAGGGCCCTAAGGCGGGCCCTGTTTGCTCATCTGGCCGTAAATTAATGCCTAAAATCCTTGAGCTTTCGGGGCTCTGCCCTCTGGACTCAACCAAGGGCCCTAAGGCGGGCCCTGTTTGCTCATCTGGCCGTAATTAAATGCCTAAAATCCTTGAGCTTTCGGGGGCTCTGCCCTCTGGACTCAACCAAGGGGCCTAAGGCGGGTCCCTAGATGCGTAATTTGGTGCCTAAAAGCCCTTCCGTTATGTATTTCTTATATATTTCTTTGTATTTCTTTCTCCATATCCTCTGCACTCTCCTTATGTATTTTTTTGTTTTCCCTTTTCTATTACCTTCTCTTCCCTGGGTATACGTGCTTGCACATGAACTATATATGGCTAAACAGTTTTGTAAAAAAAAATATGCGCGACCGGTCAAGGAGTAAGAAGAAGGCAAAAAGAGAACAAAGACGGCATCCATGGAAGCCATGTGAGAGTGTCCACTTTTTTCGCTTTTACTTTCACCCTTGCATTCTTTCCTGAATCAGTGTTTTCTCACACCTTGTAGACTCGTGCAGGTTATGATCTTGTGTGTGTGTGTGTGTGTGTGCGTGCGTGTGTGCGTGCGTGTGTTTGTGTGTGTTCGTGTAACGAAAAAACGTATACAATAGCTTGGCAATTCTCATGGTTATGAGATACAATGTGAAAGGAAATGAGAGAATAATGGTCGCGTAGCTTAAATCAAAGTTCCCCATTGCAGTCCTCTCTTTTTGGATATTTTTGCATTTTGTTTTTGTAAGAGGTGTAGCGCTAGAAGAAAGAAGAGGAAGAAGAAAAAGAAACGGGTGAAGAAGGAGATCGGGGGGCGAAAGGGCCTTGCCTCCCAGGCTGTTGCACCCCCCCCCCCCCCTCCAATAAAAAAATAAGAGAGAAGGAAGGAAAGGGAAAGGGTAAGAGGAGATAAAGGGAAGGAAAAAGAAGAAAAAAAATAAAGGGAATATCATTTGCAATTTTCCCGCCGGTGGATCGAGGAGGGGCAAAAGGCCCTTACCTCCCCCGCCCCCGCTATAACAAAGAGAGAAAGAAGGAAAAGGGAAAGAGGAGAGCTAAAAGGGAACAAAAAAGAGGAAGAAGAAAAGAAAAGGGTGAAAAGAACGGGAGATCAGTTCCGGTTAATCCCGCCAACAACGTGTGGATCGGGGTGGGGGCCGAAAGGCCCTTGCCCCCACCCCCCCCCCCTCGGCAAACCTTAAGGAGGAGAGAAAGGGAAAGAAGAAAAAAAGAGAAAGACAAAAAGGGGGCACTGGCGTACTGATAGGGGGGGGGGCTTGGGGGAATTCAAATTCAAACGTGGTTCATTTCAAATTCCATAACGGTGGCTTACCAATAATGCTGAAATCTTTTCGAGATTTTTCCTCAGTTTTTAGTAAATTATACTTTTGTATGCGTTTGTTGGAAAATGACAAATTCCTAAATTTACAGCCAGGCAAGAAATATGATTCTTGAGAAAAGTTAGGGCCCGGGGATCGGCTGGAATCGCAAGCCTCGAGCCCCCCCCCCCCCCTCCACTTTTTTTTAAAAGGTAAAGTAAAGAGAAATAGAAATAAAGAGAGCAAGAAAGAAAGAGTAGTTAACTAGCTGCTCATCTG